AGAGTTATCTTATCCCGTTAAGTTACAAACACGTGACTTCTTTTGTGAAAGAGATTCTTCAGATGTCTGATTGAGTTTCATAAAATTTTGTCTATGTATTTATTAACTATGTGTATGAAGTAAGAGATGCCGTGTGATGAGAATATATACTAAAGTGTTAAAAGCCGGTTTTGATGATATTTTGGAAAATTACAAATTAGCCGAATGCAACAAAAACCTAATTTTCTTTGTTTTTCTCTTTATCTGTTTATTCCGTTTATCTCTTACCTGAAGAAACAAAGATCCTGCTACTCTACAAATATGCAATGCTTCGTCGAAATTAGCAATTAACATTTCAGTATTCTCCTATGAGAGATTGAAATAAATTGAGATTATGTCGCGATTAGATATGTGGACGATACTAGAGCCGCTCTTAGGGCATTATTATTCAAAGCGAACATTACAATGGGTTGTGCTGTGATATGCGGAACTATTCCTTTGATTTACGTGAGTCTGTTCTGCTCGTCAGTTTTTCTTTCTGCACCAATAGTGACATAGCGTTGTAGAAAAGTAGTGATTGGATTCTTGACGCGTGTTGTGGAATTTTAAATGAAAATTTCTATAACATCCAGATGCAATCCGTGGGCGTTGTCTGTCAGTATCTTCCTGTGGTGGTGTCAGGCTGTGCCCAACTGTTCATCTTCTCCTGGCCAGCAGACGATTTAAGAGAAAGCGTAAGCCAGCCAATAGTCACGTTGATTCGATAGATCATCATTTCAGCTGGCATGCACTGACACCCCATCTTTTTTCTCCGCAATTAAACGATGCTCTTTTGATCACTTTCATCTCATATTTCCACAGACATTTAATTGAACCTTTTAATTGGATAACGTGCATACTTGTTCTTTCTTAGAGTGTACGTTTCGCAAAGTCGCTAAATGATGTCCAATGGTTAGGGAAACCGCGTAAACTGAAGAGCGCCGTTATAGTTATGATGCAGAGGAGTCAGAAAACGCTTCTAATGACAATGAGCGGTTTCCTACCACCACTTTCTTTGGAATATTTCGCAAGCGTAAGCAGCTACAATTTCTTTTACAAAATACAGTCCAGAACTGACTTTCTTCATCGATCGTAATCATTCACCGATATAACCATTGCATACAATGTTTTTATAGTTTCTGAGAACAGTATCATCCTACTTCATGGCAACGAAAACTATGATTGAGTCTTAATGATCGCAGCATGTATCACCGGAATACGTATGTAACCGAAATTTGCAATAAATGTATATATTGAAGAACTCAATCAACATTGCGACGGTTTCACGTAGACTTTAAGTAATTATATTATCCTCGTATTGCAGTAGCAATATTTAATCATTCGTGAATTCCTAGCTTCCCTATATAACGGATGATTAAGGTGAAACCCAAAATTTATAATCAATCTCCGATAGCTAGTTAGGTGCAGAATAAACCATGGCGCACGGCATACGTATCCACCATCGGTAGAAAAATAAATTCGTTGAATGTTTTATAAATATTTTCGGATATTACGAATTGATATGGAATATTTTTACATTAATTGCCGAAGAAAGTAGGAAAGTGGTCTTTCCTAAAGGCGATCTTCGTCGAATGTGGCCTATTATAGTAGTCGAAAATCTTCGTCCAGCAATGGCTAATGGGTATAACGTATCTTCTGTCATGGCTGTTGACTCCGAAATTTCTCTGTATTTGCAGCAAACAGTCAGAGTCGAGCAATCAGAAATCCAAGGATTCGCGAATAAATCCAAATATTGATTTAAGACCTGCACGGAGAAACAGAAATCCAAAGGCAATCATTATTTTCCGTGTAATATCAGACGTTACAAGTATATATTTATATAGGGATATGGTTTAATTGGCAAATATACGGAACAAAGGATGTTGTTAATTCCAATATATTTTATTTACGAGCTAAAGGGACTTAAGAGTAAAGATACAAGCTAAAAGATTAAACTAATTACACAATCCACACTCGCACGTCAACTCTACGAACTATCAGCGACTCGACTTTCCTCCAAACCTCGTGCACAACTTTCACTAACAGGACTGTCCTAGCACAGCCATTACATCCTCATTTTAATCTTCCACTCTGCCTTCTTTCATACTCAAGCTTTGTTCCTGGTTCACGCATTTCCAGTAGCCTCGCTCTCCAGGAGGGGCGCCTTTCGTTCTTCATTTGCCTTCCACACAGTCATAAATATTCCGTTCAACCGATCCTTGCACGCGGTCACTCGTTCTTCCACGAGCACTTCACATGACACTCTAAGCGTTCAATCTGAGCCCTAGGTTGCTGTCTATTGCCCGTCGCCAGGTAGATAGAACCAAGGGTTCTTTTTCACTAACCCTGCCACTTACAATTCCTACATTTATTTTATATAGTATTGTACGAAAAAAAGCACAATTAAGTATTATACATGTGTAATCTTGAGGTGGATTTTCATAGCGGTTATAGACCACATACTTCACCTAAAATACGATTTTATTAATAAATTATCATCTTCGTGCAACAGCAGTTGGTCATATTCCAGTGTTCTTAATATATCAATATGCTTGACGCCATTCATTTGTCTCCTCCTTGTCGTTCATGCACAAGTAAAATTACGAATCAACTTTATTCGAATCCCGTGAAGAATTAGGAAATACACTTTAAACTCCTATCGTTCCACAAATCGAGTCACAATCGAGCTCATACCTGCGATTAATTATTCGAATTAACGAGACTGTAATCTTAAGTTTCGCTAAATTTACTACTGAACATGAACATCCCGCGATTTCCATAATTTATTTGTTAAAATTGCACGGTGCTAGCGACTTTTGGGAACTCGCTTCAAACACCAAAAGAATGCAGAATTAAGAGTCGTCCAGATGGTCGAACTACAGTGTGGATAAATATACAGAATCACTGTGTTACTTGTAACCGATAAATTGAATCGCAACAAAGATTTCAATATTGCTTGCTGCATTACCGCGAAGATTTCCGTGTATAACACCGAGAAGTGAATCGAGCGACTGAATTAAAAGAAATCACCGATACTGCGAATAGGAAATAACAAATAATAAGCTTTTATTTTTAACGTTTACACGGTAAAGACACGGCCAGGCGAAATAACTGAATATGAAAGATAAATGGGCGGTATTACCATAAAAACAACTCTTCTCTATAATTTCCGCTACTATCCCACAATTAACGAAACACTGAGCTATTTAAGAAGTGAAGAAAATGCTACAAAACTGTAGAAAGTCGTTCATTCGGGGCATAATTGCTTCGATTCCCGCGACGCATTACGCATAAACCATAATGCCATTAATGTGAATGATTAATGAGAATAAAGTATCGATTTACATCGGCTTATTTTCCGAGAACTCCTTCCGTGAAAAAGAAGTTGACTTCACTCTGTGCTCCACAGGCTTTGAAGAACGGTTAGTGGAATAACCATGATCGTCCTGAACATTCGCCAAGCACTTTACATAGTGGAACTGGCCGGCACGTTTACCTGTACTTGGCCCATAGATCCGAAGAGCAGCAAGAAGGAGATAGCATTTCACAATTTCAGATGGGTGTTCACAATGTTAAACGTGATTCTGTTAATGATATTTCTGGTCCTCGCAATTTTCCACGTTCCAGACAACATAGCTGTGTTAATGCAAACAACCTCAGAGATCAGCGCTCTGCTCGAGGTGTTCTTCGATTTGATACTTTGCAGGATGAACTCCTGTCGACTGCAGGTCATGACAAATTCAAAGTACAAAGATAACCGGTTGTGAGAGCATGGTAAGAAGATTTTCTGATTAATCAAGGTTCTGATAGCCAAGCTGAAAGTGTTTCTGGACGAAGCAAGTGAACACGAGCGTACCGTAATACAAGGATACATAGATCGGTACAAAGTATTTTTCTCGGTGACCGGGATGGGCTACATGTTCGCTGCAGCCTCTTTTTGTTCTGCACCTTTCTTTACCGGCCAAAAGCTACCAGCTGATGGATGGATTCCGTTTTCTATCGAATCACACGGAATATTTTGTACAATTTATGTCGTGGAAGCCTATTGCGTTTTACAAACGGGATTCAGCATTTTTGTGGACTTCATGATAGCCATTCTCTTCAGTTTCTCTGCAGCCAAATTAGACATATTGGGGATGAAATTACGGCACGTGAAAAGCTACGACATGCTGGTAAGCTGTATCAAGGAATATCAAGAAATAATACGGTAAGAGAAATTTCAATTCACGTTGAAACCTAAACTCGTCTATGTTTGAATTCATTTTTTGATAACGGAATTACGTACCACGCTTCGACTGTCTTTATAGACATAAAGTTTGTATACTGTTCCTCATTGACGTTGTCACTGACAGATATTATTGAAGAAGGACATAAATAGATACAATATTCGTTACTTTAGGAAAGAGTCAAACACAGATCAACTATTGTTTCTTAATTTGAGCAGCACTCTTTATATATTGAATTTTTTGTTCTTACACCATTGAATAAAAGCAGAGCGTCACACGATTGAAATAAATTAAGCTATTTCACGGTTAGATACGTGGAGGATATTAAAGTGACTGTTGAGTTTTTATTAATCAAAACGAACGCAACGATGGCCTGCGCTGTGGTATGCGGAGCTATGCCCCTGATTTATGTAAGTTCAGCCTACTCGACAGGGCTTTTCTTCCTGCACCAATAGCGACGTAGCATAGTAAACAACTAGGCAGGAAATATTAAATGGAAATTTCTATGATAACGTTCAGAATCAGTCTTTGTCCGTAATCAGTCAGTTCCTTCCAATGGTGTTGTCAGGCTGCTTACACCTGTTCGTCATCTCCTGGCCAGCAGACGATTTGAGGGAAAGTGTAAGTCAGTCAATAGCAACTTAGATTCGATAGAACATCAACTTATCTGGCGTGCACGGCTTCGCTGTGTTCATTCTCGGAAATTAAACGAAGCTTCTTGCTTCATTTTCATCCCACATTTTTATTAACCTACAAAGGTTCATTTTAATCATATAACGAGCCTAATTTTTCTCCTCACAGAGTATTCGTTTCGCAAAATCGATCAGTGATATCCACTGGCTAGGCGAACCACGTAAAACGAAGAGCACCGTGGTGATTATGATGATAAGAAGTCAGAAGGCCTTTCTCGTTACAATGGGTGGTGTGCTACCGCCTCTATCATTGGAATATTATGCAAGAGTAAGCTGTCAGAATTTCAAAATTACAAAATAAAGTTTATCGCGAACTACGTAAATGATCAATTTAACCATTGTGTACTATGGTTAAATAGTTTTTATCTACATTATCATCCTACTTCATGGGGATGAGGACCATGATTGAAAAGTAATTCTCCTGGCTTGATACATGAATATGTACATTCTCGACTTTAATAAATTAATCGTCCTTCAATAAAATGTTGCGCAATTCGTTTTCGTTTTCTTGTTACACTTCTTTGAATTGAAATATATGAAGGAAAATATCTTTTCGAATCGCAGTTGTAGGTAACAAATACTTTATCATTTATATTTACCCTTCATGTTGCTTCGTACTGTATCATGCCGAGAAATAATTTTCTCAGTATTCATTTTCTTGTTCGTTGATTTATAAAGGGAAGAACGTATCATGGAAGAAGCAATTATGGTTGCATCTATTTCATGCACTCATAGAACATGCCATATTCTCACGTAAAAGTAAATTAATTGTGTAGTCCCTTCTATTGTATACTTCACATTCCACCCTTCGTGAAGTTCTGGTTTCCTGACAAAAGTTAATAAACACCTGTATCCTAAATGCTGTAAAGTATATTAACATCATATTAACTGATGCGAAACTGGAATCCCCTTACTTGCCATTCCCTTGGCGCATAACCTGTTGCTCAATACACTGTGCTGCATAAACCGTTGAAAGGATTAATTTGATATTTGAGGTACAATCTGCAGAAACATTTTCTGACATATCACTTTAAAATAGAAAATTTCTGCAGTCACTTCTGGAAAAAAAAATAAAAGAATTGGAAAGAATACTTCTGGAAAATTTTGCGAGTTTATATACATTTTGTTAAAGTGCCTATGTTCTATAGTGCATCCTAACCACGGTCTTTGTCATAAGTAGCCACTTGTATTCGTCGTAAATTTACCCCGTACACGCAAGGTCACCATTTCCAGTAAAACGCCAGACACTTAAGAGTTTTACATCCATTCGCCAGTGATTAGTCAGTTTAACGCATCTTCAGTCATGGCTTCTAACACACAAATCACTCTTCATATGTACGACTGAATGGAACCGTGGGTTTCAGACCTGCATAGAAAAGCACAGTTGCGATGGTAATCGATAATAAACAGTGTTTTTATTTGTATTCTATTTGACACTTATAATCAATATCATCACGCAAATATAAATTTATTTGACCGTCGAATTCATTTTATAAATCACAGATATATCTAGGCCCGAATAAAGATCATTTTTGGAAAATTATTCTAGAAACTGCGACAGCGAATCTCTACCGGATTACTAGTTCCACGGTAAGTGTCAACCAATAGCTATCTTTCCATCGATGATACTATGGTATTGTACGTTTCCACATCTGAGACATTATTGAACATGAATTTACCTGTGTACCTTATCTTCATTGCGCACGGAATTATCGTTCAAATGATTTATCCTCAGTGATTACCCATGATATTCACGGCTATTAAACTTACATGGAAAAAGATTTCTCAGAAAAGGTAGTCGGTGATTTGTAGTCGTTTCAATATGTAACACAATCCACAGCCGCAATTTCATGCAAGAAATTAATTATGCGCTCGGGCGGGGAGCGGAAACTCGCAGTTCGTTATTACTGCCACAACGGACGTAATACTTCTTTCTCCCACGCTAACAGAATCGTCGAAAGGTTGTTTGCGTACACAACCGAACCTCCGTGCTATTATAGTCGAGAATTACGTATATAAAAAATAAATGTCTTAGATATTTTATGAGTCTATCCGAAATGGTATTATCCTCGAAGGTAATACACCGCGAACACTTGCTTTTACTGTATAATCGGTTCTAACATCCGGTAGCTATGTTCCCAAAAGCAACGCCGAAAAACGTGGTCGCCTTCGTATACATAGCGGTTAAGCTATCCTTCTGTTGGCCGCTTTCATCGAGAACCAGCAAATCTCAAGTGTTACGCTTCAAAATCTTGCGATCCGTGTTGTTGATCAACGCGATGTTACTCCTCGTACCATCGATATACGGAATATACGCACACCGTGAGGACTTGATAGAGTTTACGAAAACAGTCTGTCTTTCTCTGGCCATTCTTCATGTGCTCGCGCTATCTATCTTCTGGTTCACACGGTACCATGAATTTCAGGTAAGAGCTGCCCTTGTTCGCAAGAGAAGTTGATTGTTCTAGCAACTTGTTGCAGAAATTAATCGAGGCGATGAAGTTTTACTGCAAGGGAGCCAACTCGTACGAGAAATACATCTTCCAACGATACGTGGACAAGTGCGGCATGCTGTATGGCGCGTCCGCGGTTTGGTTCTACTTATGCGCCATTAGCGTTACCATGGGGACTTTCTTTACATCCCAGACTTTCCCAACAGGTGCAGAGTATCCGTTTCGCGTTGATTACGAGCCCTTGAGGGCTATCATCTTCGTGCAGCAAACTTTAGTAGGTTTTCAGTGCTCTGCGTTACTGTGTACCAATATTGTTTCCGCTTTGCTCTTGCTCTTCGCCGCTTCGCGCTTCGAAATTTTGATGAACGACCTGCGGGTAGTCGAGAATTTTGATTCGTTGATAAAATGTATCAGGAAGTATTACGTCGTGAGAAGGTATGGAATGATGTTTTGGCAAAAAAGAATAACACGAGACGTGGAAGGTGCTGTTTCAGATACGCAAAGGAAGTGGCGAACCTGATACGATTCACGGCTCTGATCTCGTTGTGCATTTGTGGCTTCGAAAGTGTGTTCAGTTGTATGATTATGATCAAGGTGAGTAATTTCATTAATCCCGCGAGATAATTTGATGACAGGTTTAATAGGATTTCAATCTGTTTGAACGGGTAGCCAGTACCGTTCACCGTGAAGTTTCAATACTTTTCTGTGACTGCAACCACGCTATTGGGGGTGTTCCTGTTCGCTTGGCCAGCTGACAACTTGATGAGTGTAGTAAGTTTCAGGTTTCAGTTCTCTAGCTTCGAACTATGGGTTGTAAAGAAACGCGTAATTACTGCCAGAGCGAAAACGCGATGAAAGCGGTATACGAATCGAAATGGTACGAGCAACCCGTGAACATGCAGAAAAATGTGTTGCTCGCGATTATCCCACAGTCCCCGGTGATCTTGAGGATCAACTGTATCATCCCAGCTTTCTCCTTGAATTATTATTGCTCGGTATGCTAATAGCTTACACCGTGTTTCGTTCCTTTTACCATTCGTCATAAGTGTAACTCTTTATTTCGTATCTCAGTTCATCACGAGCACGTTTTCCTTATTCACGGCTTTACGTATAGTTATGGAGGGTTAAGTGCTTGGATCAGCCATGTTTAATGTAATTAAATTATTCAAGTTATACGAATTCTGCGTCTTCTACAACAAGTTTAAGTAGTAATAAAATGGTATATAGTAAAGTAGATATACCATGGTCTGTGTTATTTGTCTTCCTGTTCGATTGTTGAACCTTTCCTCGAGAGAGGAAGGAGAAAGACGTGACGACTGTACGACACGGTGGTTAATTAGTCGAACGATTAGACGCGATGCAAGAAATTTTACGAGCCGGACTAGAACTCAATAAGCAAAGTTAAACGATGTGTCTGGCCTAGAAATCTGACGCGAGAGAAATTATCTGCGGCGAAATTCGCCCTTTGGTCGTATATTTCTCTAGAAGAAACTAACAGGGATTTTTCGATTAAACTTTACCCTTAAGTGTCACGAAATCGGGGCATTGTGCCGATAAAATCGAGGTGAACGTGGAACGCCGGGTATTGCAAGGGGACTGTAATTACCGATAGCAAATATAGTTTTGAATATTGCAAAAATTACTTCACTGTAAATTTCCGAAAATTCGAGTTCCGTACGATGGTTCATTTTTCGTCGGGAATACGTGCGTTTTTCATTCCACATTATATCCAAATAATTCAAATTGCCATTATCGAAAATTTGCAGTCGTTGTTTAAATGATATAAAGTTGAATACAAAAATCGATAGCTTTAATGAAGTGTTGCGTGTAATAACTTATTTATACATTTATGCATAATTGCGGAATGGCTGTAGACGATGTGGTTTACTCGCTGACATAACTGATGTCACTGACGATGGTCCTCGATTAGGGTCGATTTGTCCGTGTGGGAGCATCGTGCTTTCCATAGCCAATAGTTCGGAAGCTCTCGACGCTATTTCAACGAGGTCTGGTACGAACTACCGATGCCACCTTTGCAAGTAAGAAATCAGTTCGCGAGTGATAAAGCTAATGAACGCAGAAAAATGAATGCACGCAATTTGAGCCAATCTAGAGGTTTGTTGAGATGCTTGAGGATAGGCTGCGGATTTTTCGCCAACTGGACTCTTCGCGTAAAAGTAGCTAAATGGAAATTCGCCCTTTACAAAATTCTGTACTGCGTACATTTCGCAAATGAATTATTGGGCGTGTTAGCAATAACGAACGGGCTTTATTGTTGCGAATTTACCACGATGGACTTTGTAAAATCGTTCGCCGATATGACGTTCATCCTGGAAACGTTGTTCAACCTGATCTATTAACAATTACGCGGGTCTGAATTTCAGGTTAATATTTGCAGTGTGATATTGTTTAACTCTATAAGCGTGCGTATGAATTTCTGATATTAAATTATATACCTTTCAAATCTGTCGTTCGCAGCGTTTGATACTCGAGATGCAGCTTTTCTTCGAGACGTACAGTTGTTTGAACCAACTTAAACCCGTGTACTGCATCCTGACAGTTACTTTCGTCATTGGCAGCCTGAATTTTGTACTCACGCCATTACTTGTAGAAAAGTATTCAACTCCACTGAACACCGTGTACTTCAACATACCGACAGATAAATATCGGGGTCGACGTATGATTTCCGTATTTAATATATTTCATGTTGTGACCGCTGCTTCGGTGATGTTCCTCGATCTACTCGTAATCTCCATAATATGGCACGCTGCTTACGAATTCGCTCTCTTGGGAAGCAAGCTGAAGAACCTGAATGAAAAGCAGGCGAAGATGTGGATCACGCAACATCAAGATCTGATCAGGTGTGTTTTTAATCGTCTAACTTGAATCTGCAAAATTTCTTGTGTTTTTATTTTCTCTCGAACAGCTACGTCCGAAAAGTTAACCGTATCTTGGCTCCAATTAATCGTAATTGGCTGTTAAATCGACAATTACAGTGACAGTGTACATGATGGTCTGTGGCCTCGCAATCATACATGTGAGCAAATCTGTTAATTTCTACCCATTGCTGAGTATTCCTTTAGTAACACGCCTTACTTCCTCCAGAACGTATCGTTCATCGAGCTGTCTCGGTTTATTCTAGTTATTGTATTATCCATTCTATGGTTCCTCGCCTGCAGTTGGGCAGCTGATAAAATGACAGTAATGGTAAGTTATAGCCGTAGAAAATTCGGGGCAATGGTTTCACGAGCTTTTTAAACAACGTGCATACGACGTTTATGGCACCCCGTGGACGGAAGCTATGCCAAACGTTCGCAAAGATATTTCGATAATTATTCAGAGGTGCCAGAAACCTATTACCATTTGCATGACTGGATTTCAAAGTGCTTGGTCTTTAAAATTCTGCGAACAAGTAAGTTGGATCTCTTTCGTACGAGAATAATTTTCTGAAGTCTTCCTTTCGTCTCGACTTTCAGCTACTTTACACGACTTTTACTTTTTTCTCGGCATTGAAAGAAGCGTTGCGAGCATAAATAGCCCGAAATCGACGAGAAATCAAACGAAGATTTCATAATTTCTAACAATGTTTTATTCCCTTTTCCGCTATGCAATGAATATTCAATAAAATTGAGTGACAAATTACAACTGCTGTTACTTACTCTAACTTAATTCTTGCCGCATTCAACGCGTATTCAACTTAGTAACAAGAAATGAAATATATACTCCTACCTACACCATTTGCTACATTAATCGGTGCTTATTTTCTCTGTCGTATTACCGAACGAATTAATTTCTATTCACGAAACGGAAACGAAGAGGCTTATTGGGTACGTTCACCATCATGAATGTGCTCTTGATGTCAGCGTAATCGTATTCGATTCTGAATTGTCGTATGAGCTGGAAATAATAACGAGCGTAGAACGTTGTACGATTAATAATTAAACCCGATCCTTACCTTCGCTGTCAGTAGCATCATCTTCGTTTCAGCCATGTGTTTCCCTAGACAGGACCTCGCGCCATAGCCGAAAGGTAGGTAGCTGAAGTCTATATTTTCTTTCGCGCAATTAGACAACCACCTTTCTGGACGAAACTTCATCGGGTCCTCAAAGTTCTCCTCGCGTTGAGAAGTAATTTGATTTGCCATTATAACAAACGTCTGTGGAAAATTTATCTTTTAACCGAACAATAATGCGATCTCTTTTCGTTTCATCTGCGCGTCAGACTCACCCCTTTAGGTATCGTGTATCCGTGAAGACATATGGTTTTCGGTAGCAGTCTGGTGATGTACGGGACAGCAGGGTGTAACCTTTGATTCGAATAAATCGCTTTACCTTACCGCGATCACTTCTATCCGTGTATCTACGTCGCTATTACAGAGAAATGTTTACCTCAGAGTCTCCTGAAGGCAAGCTTTCAAGAAGGGCATGTTTCTCAAAGCTTTCTCGGTGAACGGAGAATCGTTATTCGGTAAAACAGAAGTGATTTCATCGTACAGTCTCCTCTGCGTCCGCGGATTCTTTGCCAAGTAGTATAACAGGAATG